AAGRRSTKKKKTTYMAMYYTCCCCCTCCTGGGGATCTTTTGTGGGGTTCCCTGGGCCAAAGACATCTTTGAGTGAGCTCCAGGGGGCAGGTTAAGGAAGGAGGTTGATATTTCAGGGTTTCCAGAGGGATCTGGAGCTGGGAATGGATACTTTTCTTATCTGCCCTCAGAAAGTGAAGTTGGAAAGTGGAAATTTTGTTTGAGGAGGTGGTGATGGGGAGTGTTCTCAAAGAGATGGGCTGGAAGAGAAGCAGAGGAGGAGGTTTGAGGCAGGGACAGCAGCCTCTGCCTGGGTTGTGCTCCAGGGAACGTCAGGAGGGAGATGTGGCATGGGTTATTTCTTTTTATGCATTTGTGATTTTCTTGTATTTAAAAAAAAAAAAAAAAGATGGAAAACCTCCCAAGTTTGGGCAGCTGATTTTAGCAAATGCCAGAGTCCACAGTTAACACTCCAGTTTCACTAAGTCAATAAAACCATTTACAACTGGTTGAAAACCATTTACTGATGCTGAGAAGCTTTCCTAGTTTTGGCAAAGTTAAAACCTAAAAAAAAAACCAGTGGGTTTTGTCTCATGGGGATAACAGCAGGAGCACAGTGCCAATCCTTTGCACCTCTTTGAGGTATCCTTAGTGCTTTGAAGAGTTCCTCAGTCCCCAGTAGCAATGAAAGCACAGGTGATAATAGAATTGATTGGAGATCTCCCTGTGGTGCCCTGCCACATGCATCCTTGTGATAAACTGGATTCCCTGTTTGTGGGTCTACTGAGGAAAATTCACCCGAATTCTGTGCAAACAGCAGCCCAAATGGAGAGAAGAGCAAGGCCAGTGGGTGGCTGTGCATGCACCCAGCCGTGGGTTTGGACAGCAGCACATCTTCAGTGTTCCAGGMTGGAAAAATCTTTGCATTGAACTTTTTTTTCTGAGCCACTGCCTGCAGGTCTTAGGGGCCATCTCCTGATGTTGCAAACTTCTCGAGCTGCTCAATATCTGGCAGATMATTGTGCTGGTGCTTTCTGTGTCATCTGAGATCCAGAGAACCCTGTGCCCTGGAAGATTTCCTCAGCTGAGTGAGTGCCTCAGGTGCTGGCAATGTTTCCACCCCGTGCAGCAGGAGGGGGACAAGTTGCAGCACTCGGTGCCTGCTGCTCACAGATCAAAAGCCAGGAGTGGCTGTGTGCAAGGAGCTGCTGGACTTGGTGGTTTTTGTACAAGATAAGGGAATGAAGACAAGAAATCAATTGCACATTGTCTCCTCTTCAGCAGACACAGGCCATGAAAACAAGGCAAGGCTGTTCCTTACTTTTTTTCTCCCATAAGAGTTGCTGGACACAAAGGTTTCGAAAGGACTGACTTTTCCTCTCCTCAGCTTTCTTATTTCTCATTGTAAAATATCTGGAAGCTGGAAGAGTTTCAGGCATATGAGAGCCTGACCTCTCTTTCCTTCTAAAGTTGCCCCACGTAACCCTTGTTACCTGCTTGTGCTTTAGCATGGAATTCATTAATTCCCCAAACACAAAGGCAGTGGACTTCAACTGCAAAGCCTGTCTTTGAAATTGGAGGTTTTTTTATGAGCTGCATGCAAAATCACAAAAGAACAAGATTTCTAGATGTAATACTTTATATGAGAAAAAAAAGTATTTTCTGCCTCCCTCTTTGGTCCCTTCTGTTTCCTTTTTWAAATTCTTTCTTTCTATTACCTTTGGGGTGTATTAAATCCATAAGCAGATATCCAAAACCAACCTATTTAATTTTAAAGTAATTTTTACAGTTTGTGTTTTAAGGCACAGAAGATTTCCTACCTCTTTTCTACTCGTTTTTTCTTAGGCGGACGTTTTTCCTCAATAAATGAACTGTTCAGAGCACGATGTAAYCTCTAAAGGGAAAAGAGGAAAATAAATTTGTAAAAGCAAGAWTAAGAACAGCTCCACAAATAGGTAAACAATTTGGGCTTTGTCTGATGGACTTGGGCATAAATTATTTGGCAATTGAGGGATACAAGCARTTGTCTGTGCTCTGTCATTACAACAGATTTATTCTCCTGCAGGTTCCCAAAGAAAGGCAAGCTGAAAGGTTGATGAATGGTTTGGGAGCAATCCTTGGTGTTAAAAATTAGTCTTAAAAGATTTCTTCCACTGTGCAATTTTAAAGCAAAGGAAGTTATTCCCTTTTGTGCCTTTTGCTGCAAAGTAACTTTTTCCTTTAGAGCAAACACCTATAGCAATCCTGTCCCATTACTTTTTGTAGAATAATGAGGGAGTTTACCCAGCATTTCCTGCATGCCCTACAAGTTTGGGAACTCATAACAATGCGATAAAATGTTCTGGTTTGCTAGTTTAGGAAAACAACTCTGTAGATCCAAAAGAGCTGAGCTGTAAGGCTACAAGTGCCAATTTAAAGGTCCCTCAGTGAGCTTTGCAGCTGAGTGTTTGAACTGTTTCCTCTGTGCTTTCCATTCATTCTTCAGAACGGGATCCAGCCCACCCTCTTCCAGCTCCATGAAGATGTCAATTGTCAATACAATTACAAGCTTTTATATAAAAATATATATTTATATAAAAAATTATATAAGATTTGTTGTTGCCCAGGCTTCCTTGGCCAGGCACACGATTTCCACAGGGTACCCACCTGGCTGGTGTGGAGCCAGTACCTCATCTTGGATTTTTTCTTGATYCGTGGCAGCAGCAGTCTGTACACGATGTGCTCCCCGATGGTGGTGAGGATGGACAAGCCGAAGCCAACGCACAGCATCACGAAGAGCCCTGAGAAATGCTTTATCCCCATCTGCAGTGTCTGTGGATAAAATCAAAGGGGAGGTGAGGGCAGGAGGCCGTTAGTGAAGCAGATTTTCTCATGTGGAGTCTGACGGAATACCCAGCAGTGAAATAAATCCAGAATAATCTGGATACAGCTCACAGCAAAACCCTCCTGTGCTGCAGAATGTTTGGTGTTCAGTCAGAGAAAAGGATCTGTCATGGGAGGAGAATCAGCCAAACACCAGGGAATTTGTGCCATCTCCCCAACRAGATGAAGCGTTGAACGTGCACAAGAATCYGGTGTTTGTGGTGTTTYTGTGTTTTGTAAAAATTGGTACAGCCTGACAGAACGGAGTCAATGAACTGTGAAGCAAGTCCTTCATCAGCAGSGAGCTAATGCTCATATTTCCTGGGAGCTGATTGTTAACTTTCCCTTTTTGTGCCTCACCCTCGATGGAGAAAATGTGAAATAAGCAGCACAAACACGGCACCCCTCCACTCCCTTCATTAACACAACTGGAATTGTGTTTGTAGGAAACTCTGCCTGCACCCATGGAAAACAGAAACACTCCCACCTTTTTCTCCTAATCCACCCTTTCCATGCAGGGTAGRAAGCCCTTAATTAATTTGTCTTTGTGGCATTAATCACGTTTGAACACCAAGAAACTGTGTACAGCAGGAATAAATAAAAGAAAAGCAAATACCTGCAGTGCAGTGTGTGGGTGAGGCGTGCACGTGGTATCTTTATTCTCAGGGCTTTGTAACTGAGTTAATCAATAACTAAAAATCCCTTGCTAAAAATTACTGTCCACAGATTCCCATTATTACTATTATTATTATTATTATTATTATTTATCAATATTATTAATAATAATAATAATAATTTTTTATAAGAAAGAACAGAGTTTGGGCATGGTTGTGTGTCATCTCCGGTGCTGTTACCTTGGACAACTGACCTGTTGTGTTCCTTGTGTTCATTTGCTTGGTGGGTGGGGATTGTGCTTTTTAATGMCTATTTCTACAAGCTGGAAAAATAAACTGGAATTAGTCAAAACAAAAAAAAAATYACAGAAAATTTGTGAAGTGTTGTCATGAAGTAATTTTAAGTAATTTTAAGAGTGGATTCCTGATGAGTCCACTGAAGTTTGAGAGCTTGGAAGTCCAGTTGGGTG